CTGTATATTTAAATTTATTTATTTTTATTTTTATATTAAAAAATAATAATTTTATAATAAATAAATTATGTAATATTTTAAATTAGAAAATGTAACCATTATCAACTTTTGAGTCGGCTATAGCCATTTGCTCCCAACGTTCAACCACCGGATAGCTCAATCACTTGATTGCGTAAAAGCGAAAGCTAAAGAAAAATCAAACTTGGCAATCACGCATTTATTACAAGATTGTGATACAATTTAAGATTACTTCGACTTAATCAGTAGAAAGGCCATGTGTTTCATGACTTTGTTCCACAATCTTTTCGTTTTGACAATAGTATATGCATATGAAAAATTTTAAGAATTAATCTGAATAATACAAGAAGGTCGAAGAGAAATCCTAGCCGTTCACTTTCTCCTCTTGCCTTGAACTTCTCTTTTTTCATCTTATTCCCTTATTTGCTCTGGCCGCCTCTCTCTTTCGGTGGTTACGGGAGATGACTAAAGTGGGAGTTTTTTTCCTTTTTATGAGGGTTTTTTTATCTCTTACGAAAGTTTCTTCCTTCTTTTTAGAGTTTTTATCCTTGTTTTCTTAATATTTTTTATTGAGATTTTCTTTTCTTGAAAAAAAAAAGATAAACTGACTATTTAAATGTAAGATTGGTTAGTTTTAGATTAATTATCATGCTTGTTTTGACTATTAAAAGAGTAGTTGAGAAGAGGTTCTCTAACTAAATTTTTCTATCATAAGAACTAATTTATATTTTTTCTCAATGAATTATGTTAAAATATAGCTTAATTGTTACGTCTCATACTTGAGTCTAATTGCAATATATATTTATATAGATATTAAATTATTTAATTTAAAACTTTTTATATATTTTATAAATATATTACTTCTAACATATTATCTAATTCAATATATAACCCTTATAATTTTATTAAATAAATGAAATTCAATTTTTTATATAAAAAAAAACTAATATATGCTTATGCTTTTGTTTGTTTCCGTTAAATATATATATATATATATATGCCTATTGTTGGAAAATAGGCAAATCAGCCCTCAAGCTTGTATTTCTATGGCAAATCAGTCCCTTTACTTCTTTGCATAAATCAGCTCCTGAGCATGCATTTTGTTGGAATTGCTTAAATGCTGGAATTGCTGCCATACAATAAGAATTGCCTGTTTCTTGTGTTTCTTGCAGTTCCTTCTCCATCTTTGTGTAAAGAATGAGTTAAAAAGAAATATTTCTCTCAAATAGAAAACGGGAAATTAGTACCACGGTCGTATCGTTCTGGAAGATGGGGTGAAAGCCTTGAGCTTGTAGAAGGGATACTTCCAGGATTCTTGAAATTTACCAAGAATACCAAAAAGGAAACAGGAATGAGATAATACTACAAGCGCCGGGATTAATTAAAGCAAATAGGAAGGAAAAGCAGAGAGCAAATGAATGACCACATAAGCGTGGAAAGGAAAAAAAAAAAAAAGTTAACCAGTAAAAACAGTGACAATTAAACCCCAGAAGCCTTCTTCAGTTAATCTGAAATAGCAAACATACATTTGTGTAACTCAAGTTAGAAAAGCATATCTTATGTAGTCATGTAAAGTAAACTGAAAACTCCTCATGACAATGGGTGCATAGACTTCTTGAAGGCATATGGGTGACTTTGAAAGTATACTGTACCTCAAAAGAACATGTATTTTTGAGTGTTAAGAAACATTCTCATGTTTTGTTTTCACAATAGTATTTACCCACTAAGAAAAGCCTTTATAATTGTACAGTGTAAACTATAAGCCCTATAGAGACTCCGTATAAAAACATACAAGTGGATTCTATGGGTCTACATGACTTTCACTTCCCTCATCTTCAGCCAATGACTCCCAACATTCTTCTGATTCGTAGGTATCATCATCCCCAAACCTGGTCTCAGGATGTTTTTCTTCTTCAAGAGCAAGTTTCATCTGCTGGTAGGCCAATTCAGCCAGGTCTTTTCTGTTGGCATTATTATAGGCATCTATAACAGCCTGGTACAAAGATTTACTGGGCTCAATCTCCCTATACTTTAATTTGCTATGTATCCGCCTTACACCTTCAATCATGCCAGCTTTTCCATAACAACCTGCAAGACCAATAAAGGTGACCAGGTCTGGTTCCAGGCCTTGGTCTTGCATTTTCATAAGCATGTTCAGAGCCTTGTCAATCTGCCCTGTTGAGCTATAAGCATATATTGCGGCATTGTATGCAAAACAGTTCAGAGGTACTTCTACTTTTGTGAAGACCTCGCATGACTCAAGTGCAAAAGTGTGCAAACCTACTAAAGAGAAAATACAGGTGAAAATGGCCTGTCTAGCATAAGGTTTTCCTAGATCATATGATGATTCTAGCTGAGTTACAGCCTCAATTGGAAAGCCTCCCTTTTTCAATACAGTAAATAGGACTTTAAAAGTCTCAATGTCTGGCAAAAGCTTTTGAGTAATCATCTCATGCAACAATTCACCACAAGCATGCAACTGGCCATTCCAGGCATAGCACGCCATTGCTGAATTGTATGAAGCACAGTCCTTTAAGAAACCAGACAGTCTCATCTCTTCAGCAATATTAATTGCTTCATCCAGCATACCATTGCTTTGATAGACATGCATCATAGTTGCATGTGAAATAACATCTGCAAGGCCCTTTTCTCTCAAATAATCAAAAAGAATTTTGGCTTCAGATACCTTCCCAAAATCTGCATAAACACTAATCATACTATTTGATGCAATGATATCTGGACCACCTTCCAAATCCTGCATCTTCTCGTACACACGTTTTGCACTGTCCAAGCACCCAACCTTACTATAAGCCTTAATCAGGGAAGTTAGCACAATCTTGTTGGCTGACAGGCCACATTCTTGCATCAAGCAAAAATATTGAAAAGCTTCTTCAGCTTGGCCAGTTTCTGCAAACCCATTGATTAAAGAGCCATAAACAACTTCATTAGGCTTCACACCTGCTCTGGTCATTTCTTGGTAAATATCAACTGCATCACTAAGTTTCCCAAGACGAGAATAACATGCAATAAGAGAGGAGAAGGTTAGACACTGTGGTTTGAATCCTGCTGCTTGCATTTCACTTAAGAGTTCCATTGCCTGATCTACCAAATCACCTCCACAGAGCATTTGAATGAGAGAGTTATATGTACACTCATCTGGCCAAGTTCCATGATGTCTCATGCTCTTGTAGAGAGAGAAAGCTTTATCATAAACTTTTGCTTTACCATACACTTTGACCATGACATTATACTCCACCACATCTTTCTTCCATCCTTGCAGGTCTCTATTGCGATAGAACACAGCCTCAGCTTCTACCCATAGTCCCTTTTCAGCATAAGCATCAATAACTGCTGCACGAGTCTTGGATGAAAGCTCACTATCAACATGAAAATTGTCAAAAAGAGTCTTAGCCCGGTCAAGCATTCCTTCATCAACATACATCTTCATAAGAACAGGGAGAGAGAGTTCATCAATGCATATACCAAATTTCTCCATTTCTTCAATAACAGCTTCAACTTCTTGAACCATATTCCTTTGACACAATATATGAAGAACAGCTCTGTGGCTTACAGTGTCAGGGGAAAGGCCTTCCTTGCTGATCTTCCTATAGTACATCAGGGCTGACTCAATATTTCCTACATTGGCATACAGAGACAGAAGGATGTTATAAGTCTTTGTATCCGGAGATATTCCTCTTTCTTCCATCTTGCCAAGCAATGCTTCTGCCTCTGACAAGTTCCCATGACTTCCACAAGTAAATATCATAGTGTTAAAGGTAATAGCATCCATTGCCACCCCAGATTGTAACATTTCCGCAAAAACAGCAGCTGCATCCTTCAGACGCCCAGCCTTCCCATACAAATCAATCAAAGTATTATATGTAGATGTTAATCGTGGCTTTTGAGTAGAACTCTCTCTATCAAGTAGACCTAAATTTGTCGAAACCGGAATTCTCCCACCAGTCCTTAAAAGCTCAGTTGACAGAAATTGCTTAAAACTAACTGGTGCTGAACTAGACCCATTTTCCAAATCAGTCATGGAATCCAAATCAAGATCATCTAAGTCCACCCTTCCAATGCACCAATCCTTATAAAACCTATCTGCCCTATCAAACTCCCCAGCATCTTTCAAAACCCTAACAACCGTGTTCATTGTAACCTCATCAGGGAATAGCCCTCTGAGTTTCATATGCTTAATCCATAAAAGTGCCTCTTTCACCAGCCCGGCCTTCCCATAAACATCAACAAGCATTCCATAAGTATTATTCGTGGGCAAAACACCATTTTTTGCCATTTCAATCCAGAAAAGCCTTAACTGATCCCATCTTTGAGCCCTACCCAGAGCTCGAAGCACAACATTATAGTGAATTACATTAGGAACATACTCTTTCTGTGATTTGAAAAACTCAAAGACCCTAATCACTCTCTCCCAACTTCTCTGTTCTTTGAGTATCACAGTCTGCTCTTTTGGACTCAAATTCTCACAAACTGACGTAAGGGTTTTCTCTAAATCATCACCTGACTCCAATGACGTAAGAATTGAAGGCAAAGCACCACCATATTTATTCTTTTTACCTCTGTTTGAAGAAATTTTATAAGGAGAAACCAAATTTTTAGAGTGACATTGTAGCTTAAACCCAAGAGACACTCTCAATCCACTTGAACCGTGCCCGGAAGGGGAAACTGAGGGGGCAGTGCAGCGCTGATTTCCGGCGCCATTATGGTCAAGAAAATTAAACCGCAGAAAAACCCTAGCTCTGAAAGGAAAATGTGGGGGAGAAGAAGGCTTACTCCGTGAGAAGACGACGCCATGTTGGAGACTTTGACGGCGTAATTCTCTCGAATTATAACCGTGACTCTGCAGCATCGTGCTCGGAATTTGGATCTCCGTCGCTCTTCCTCTGCAGGCAGAAGTTAGGGTTTTAGGTTGGGGGATTTTGCGGCGGTTGTTTACTTCCGCCAAACATGGGAAGTTCGCAGCAGGAAGCAAGAAAGTAGAAAAAGAATGCTTTGTTTTTTTAGGCCTTAATTTTTTTTAACAAAAAAAATAAATAAATCAATAACTCTAACAAAAAAAATATCATTCCATGAGAAAAAAAGACAAAAGAAAATATCAAAATAATTTTACCGAAAATTTTTGAATTTTATAAAACTTCAATAAATGCAAAAAAAGAAAAAATCGATGGCTACAAATATTTTTAATCTTTTAAAAGTTTGTAAATTTACAGTAATTTTTTTATTTCCCAAAATATTAGTATTTTTTATTTTGATTTACAAAACAAAGGGCAAACCATTAGTAATCCCTTAATATATCTCACCCACATTCAAGATTTTTTATCTTCACCAAAAAGAGATTGTTACCTTCATTTAAATTAGTTGGTACAAAATATAAGAATCTATTGAAATAGAGTGAATAAAAAACATGTTAGAAATACGATCAGTAAAAATTTAATTGAATTATTAATTAGTAATTTTAAAATTTTAATTTAAAATGATAATGTTACACTTAGAATGTCATGTGACATTGTAAACATACAAAATGATATATTATTATATAATTAATTATTTTTATTTAAAAATTTATTTATATTATTATATACATTTATTCATTTAATAGCATGATATATTTTATTAAATGGCACGACATATTTAATTAAATGTCACATTATAATTTTATATGGTATTATAATTATAATATTATCAAATTTAAAATTAAGATAAAAAATTCAAACCTCCATTATCCAAACATCTAAAATTTTAATGTCTAAAAAAGTATATAAAAAACGCAAATTCTTGTAGAGAAAGTGAAGC